CCCCCCCCCCCCCCCCCCCCCCCCGGTCACGTGGGCATACTCACCTGCCTACCTACAGGGCGGCACGTGGAGCATGCATACCGTGACGCAGCGCAAAGGCTCCAATTCTCTTCTTTACGTCTCTCCCATCTACTGTATATCGATAAATTACATTAAATACACTCCTCCGATATGCAGTTCCTCCTGTTTTTTTTTTTTCTTCTGTGGCATTTGGTGCGGTTTTATGAATGCAGCTCGTGTCGGCGGACAGTTTCCGTTTTCGTCGTATCAGAAGCAAACGGACGCCATATATTTTCAGACTTCTGGTCAGCGTCGCCATCTCGCTGTTGTCTGCCAGGGCAACCTTGTTCGGTTCCANCACCTCCGGTGTTCCCTCCCCTTTCCTTTCCTGTCACCTGGATCAACTTGAAGGAGCTGATGCGGTTTCACCAAGCGGACTACGTCAACTTCCTCGAGAAGGTTATGCCTGGTCCCGCGCGCGGTCAGGGGACTGGTCCTCAGGTGAGGTGCGCGCCTCGAGCGAGGCGTGCGACGTGGCGAGACACCTCTCGCCGATGTACTCGTGCACTGCAGGGCTTTGGCGGACCGCGATTCGAAGTCGTGCAATGACTGTGTTGTGGTTTAAGAGGAATTATTTGGGGGTATTGCGCGACTTTGCTTCTGTACGTGTACATTGGCTGCAGCGCATGTGCAAGATCTTTTAGTGCAGCAATTCCATTATGTCCAGGGGAAGCGTTGCTGTTTGCAGTAAATAATTCCATACAAGGGCGCGAATATGTTCTTCATTGCTCCTCCCCCCTCCCCACCTTACACAATCAACTATTTTCCCCCGCCCTCCCACCCTCCCTCCGTTCCAACCCCGGTGGAAACCCGTACGCGACAAGCAGCAGCAAACCAAGTTCAGCGTCGGCGAATTCACCGACTGCCCGGTGTTTGAGGGTCTCTACCGGTTCTGCCAGGTGGGTGAAATACAGTAGGCGCTTTTTTCTTCATGTCCAACTACGCGAAGCATTTGTCCAAACGTTGTCAGGAGTCCACGTCCAAAAAATGAACAAAGCGGAATGGCATGCGGGCGACTACTGTTGTTCAGGAACACCGTCCGTGGGTACCAACATATATATATTTTTTTTTCTTATCTTTTTTCAGTCATACACTGGAGCGTCGATCGACGGCGCGATCAAGCTCAACCACGACATGGCGGACATCTGCATCAACTGGTCGGGCGGGCTTCACCACGCGAAGAAGGTGAAAACGGGAGGGAAAAACGAAAAGACACGAGACAAGGCGCGTCTCTCGCTGCTGCTGTGCTTCAGATTCCACGTATGCTGCCGTGCTTGCACGCCTTTTTGCTTTGCCACACACAGTTTTTTTTTTTTTTTTCATCTGTATCCATACCTCCTTGTGCATGCTCCTTGTTTGGGCGTGCTTCCCTCGCTGGAATTATTCGAGGGAATGGCGGAGAGGGGAGGAATACCACTACCTGTCGCCGCGGCTGTACCGGAGTCTGGGGCTCGAGCATGACGGCGGTTTGTAGCAGCAATATCGCCGATGAGGTTCATTACCGTTCGTTCGTGTGTTGTGTGCGTGGTTTGTTCAGGCGGAGGCATCGGGCTTCTGCTATGTAAACGACATCGTACTGGCCATCCTCGAGCTTCTCAAGTACCACTCCCGCGTGCTGTACGTCGACATCGACATACACCATGGAGACGGGGTGGAGGTGCGCTGTCGCTGATGCTGCTGTTGATATTTTTGTCGGTGGTGAATTTTGTGGTTCGCTTCCCCGTTCAGTGGGTGATTTGGTTTCGTACCGCGACTTTCATACTCCACACAAAAGACTTCTTCGGAGTTGCCCTGTAGTACCTTTTTTTCTCCATGACAACATAGAATAATAGCTTTACATATTTTGTTGGCACATAAATATGTGTGTTCATGTTTCCATCCATTCCTTGTTTTTGTTGCTTTTCCAGGAAGCGTTCTACACGACGGATCGCGTGATGACCCTATCGTTCCACAAGTATGGCGACTTCTTCCCCGGCACGGGTGACATCAAGGACGTCGGGGCGAAGGTGATAGACCACTACACTGTCGCACATAAATTTCTTGGAGTTTTTCTCTTTGGCGACGCCTGCATGCGATTTCCTTGGGCCTTCTCCTGGTTTTTCACGCACCGGAAGGTGTTATCATGCGGTGTAGCAGGTGTTTTTTTTAATGGGCGAGTGAGGCGAGGTGTTTGGACACTATCGTAGCAGAACACAGTAATCGAAGCTTTTGCGTGTACCTCTACCCCGCGATGATGAGCTTCTTGATCTTTGATCGAAATGTCAATTGCCCTTGATGCGCTTGCTGCTGCAGGCCGGCAAGTACTACTCGGTGAACTTCCCTCTGCAAGAAGGCATCGACGACAACAGCTTCGAGAGCATCTTCAAACCCGTCGTCAACAAGGTGAGGCCAACACTCGAGTCTTTCGCGCTTCCGGATTTATTTTGATTATTGGAGAACGGGGGGGGGGAAGTAGTTCAGGCAGACACCACACTGGAGAGCGGGTGTTGGCTGAGTGAAGAAAAAACGAACTTGGTAGCACTATCATGCTTTCGCACGCACCATCATGGCCTCGTACTTGTCCTTCATATATGCATGGCGGAGAACTTTCCGGAGAACCCTCCGGAGAACCTTCCGGAGAACCTTCCTCTCGGGTTGATTGGTTCCTTGGCGGTACGGCGCCTGGTCTGTAGGGACATGCTGTTTGCAGAATCCATCACTCTAATCTGACCCCCTCCCTCCCCCCCTTACCGAACCTTCCCGATCTGTCGTGCCTCCCTCTTCCTCCCTCTCCGCCCTCGACTTGTTCTGTGGCAATAGGTGATGGAGATGTATCAACCGTCGGCGGTGGTGCTTCAGTGCGGGGCGGACTCCCTCACGGGAGACCGGCTGGGCTGCTTCAACCTCACGCTAAAGGGACACGCGGAGGCTGTCAAGCACGTCAAGAGCTTCGGCGTGCCAATGCTGGTGCTCGGGGGAGGGGGGTACACCATCCGCAACGTGGCGAGGTGGGGTTGGCGGTCGGGTTGGGTGGTGGGACCCTGTGTGGTGCTGGTGCTGGTGCCGGTGCCGGTGCTGGTGCCGGTGCCGGTGCCGTTGGCGATGCAGGATGAAGCACTGTCAGTCCTATGTTGCTCCACGTCTAGCGTTGCTGTTGGCGCTTTCCACGTTGGTGTGTCCCAATGCTGTCGGCCCTGATCGAGGCTCGATGTGTTTTCGTTTTCGTGTTTTGATGTGTTTTGGGGGCGTTCAGGATTGACACGTGTTCGAGTCTTGTCTTGGGGGCAAGAGTTCCGAAGCGCGTCGTCGTCTTCACGGAGTCGTGTCTCCTGTTCTTGCTGTAGAGGCGTGTTTCGTTCTGTATGTGTTTTTTCCGCCCACTCGTTTTGGTGGCGAGATTGCAGGGTTTATCGGCGGAACTGGGGGTTCTGCTCTACTCACTCATGTGAGTCAAATCTTCCGGGTTTCCTGGCGGGCACGGACGGTATGTGCGTGTCTTGCACTTGTGATTTTTTTGGTACTTATTGTTGCTCTGCCACGCAGGTGCTGGGCCTATGAGACGGGGGTACTGCTGGGCAAGGAGATCGACGAGGCGATTCCGTACAACGACTACTTCGAGTACTACGCCCCGGACTTCAAGCTGCACCTCACTCCGGTAAGGGTTTTGTTACTATGCAGAATACCTCGATGCTTTCTGTCATTTTCGGCTATGTTGCTGAGTACGATTGGCTTCAAGTTGGGGATGGGATTTCCTCGGGGCAAGCGATGATATTCTATGGGAGTCGGCCCTTCCAAGCGGCCAAAAGGGTTCGAACGCTTTTTCCTTTTCCACCGAAACTGACGTGTTCGGGGGAAGGTTGTCTGGTGAGAGCAGACAAGACTCTATCGGCTACAAGAAGTGTGTGTGTGGCGTTCTTGACGTCCAGTTAGGTGGATTGTCGGGCTTCTCCTGCTCGTTTCCCACGACAAGCGAGCCACACTTTCATTACCCCCTCTTCGTGCTTTGCCCTAACTAAGTAACGAATGCCAGTGACACCGGTAAAACAGGGTCGCGCGAGACTCAGCCTTCCAATCGCGTACATTGGCATCGTGGGACGAACAAGAAGGCGTAGCTAACGCCTGTGAATATCGTGGTCTCCATGTCTTCCCCCCACGCGCTCGTGTTGTCGTCGCTTTGTGGGGAACATCGCTATGTTTCCTAACACGACGGCGTGCCGTCGACGCAGTCTCCCCACATGGAGAATCTTAACACACCGCAGGAGCTGGACCGGCTGAAGACCACCGTGTTGCGGCAGCTCCAGACGCTGCAGGGGGCGCCGTCGATGCAGATGGTGGAGGTGAGCGAGCGTGTTTGTGCGGCTCTCTACTCTGTATCGGAAAGGTTGTTAATTGTGAAGACGACAACAACAACAACAACGGCAACATTTGCGGGAGGAAGGGGGGGGGGGGGGGGGGGGGGGGGGGTACGTGCTCGNGGGGGGGGGGGGGGGGGGGGGGGGGGGGGGGGGGGGGGGGGGGGCGGATTTACCGAGAACAACTCGAGATGTCGGGCGGCTCTCTGTGGCTCAATTTCTACTGCCTTTTATTTCGAACGTCTGCTTTTTCTTTCGCGTCTTGCGCGCCCTAGTGTTCCACATCATGGATCTCTCTCTGACAAGCAACGCCTCAAGCACCCCCTCCCTGACTCGCTACTGCTGCACACCGCCCCCGTAATCGTCGGGATTCTTGTCCAAAACCAAACCGCATCAGGTGCCGCCAGACGCAATGACGAGGGAGAGAGACGGCAGCGAGAGCAACCCGGATCAGCGGCCGGCCCGCGTCAATGCGGACGGCGGGCACAAGAAGCGCCACGCCGCCGAATTCTACGACGCGAAGGGTCCCGGGGTGATGGGCGGCAGGGGAGCAGGAGGAGGGGGGGGGGGGGNGGGGGGGGGGGGGGGGGGGGGGGGGGGGGGGGGGGGGGGGGGGGAGGGTCGGGCTCGTGGGCCCCTCAATCGATAATGTCGGTCCCTCCTTCCTCGTCTCAGTCGAGGGAAGGGGGAGCGGGGGGTAGCGGTGGCGGTGCTGGCGGCAGCGCTGTGCTGGGTTCAGCATCACAGAAGAACTAGGGTCGTCGGTGCGTATATAGTGGCACGAAACTGTCGTCCAGAGGGGCCGGCAGAGGAGGGATAGGAAGAGAGGGAATGTTTTTTTGTGGGATTTACGTTTTGAACGTCAACAGAAGGATGTTGTCCGCACAGAATGTAGAGAGCGAAAAAAGGAACGCCTTGGAAGAGCAGCGCATAAAATCGGGGCAAGGGTGGGTGCGTCCTTTCAGGTGGAAGTGGGATGCAAGGGGGATGGGACAAGTGAGAGTTCTGGTCGAAAGGGTGCGGTGTGTTCTTTCATGTGGAAGTGAGATGGAAGTGGGATGGGACAAGCGAGAGTTCTGGTCGAGAGAGTGTCGTCAGAGCGTGCGTGCTGTGCCCTCCCCCTGTGTGTACCCAGCCGGTCTCACGAGGGCTGCTTTTCCCTAACGTGTCAAATGTGGGGCGGCGCACACCCTCTGTTTGGCGGGCGCGATGTCCGAAAAGGGAGAACGACGGCGGGTGGATGATGGCTGGTAGTAGATCGCGAAGCCTTTCCCGAGGTTCCGTGGTTATTTTCTGGTAGTAGGCCCTCCTTCGTGGAATGGAGTGATTGGTATGAAGGCGTCACTTCTTTGTGTTAAGATGGTTTTCCATGAGGTGATTGTTCCATGGGAAGGGTGTACTCCATGAAACCGTCACCGCAAAATGTTTGCTTTTGAGCAGGACCCGCGCTGGCGGAATCTCTGCCGCTCCGTGGATAGGGGGAAAGCGGTGTTACTCGGCTGGCGGAGTGATGGTCTTGTTGCGGTTCCTCGCAGTTTTTTCGTTTTGTCGTCTTGGAACGAGATGGCGTCATATCTATCCATTTGCTCGTGTCACGGCCGCGAGAAAAGCGAGTTTTTTATCTCGTCGTTGCTCCGCCCCCCCCCCCCTCCCCCCCGTGTTGGTTTTTGCGTTGGTCGTCCCCAGAGGAGGAGTGGTTATGGCGTCACCGCATGTTCCAGCCTGTCGCCGCACGGAGCTCTCGAGCTGTTGATGTTGTCGTTGCCCGTGGCAGAAGGACAGGGATGCGGAGAGGTAGTAGACGGGCAGGCAGACGTGGGCATGCTGGCTGTGATTATGTATGTGATAATTCCCCAAGTGAGAATTTGGGAGATTCGGTAGAGTAGGAGGGGGTGGGAAGCGTGCCCCTCCATCGAAAATGGAGGAAAATGGTCGTTTGATTTGGTCGAAGTGATGCACCAGTTGGTCATCGAGAGTTGGCTGCTGCGTTGTTCCCTTGCCATGGACTCCGAAGGTGGTTTCAATAGCTCGCGTTCCGTGAAAGGTTATAAGAAGTTCCCATCAAGCCCCTACTAACCGATGTGTCCCAATTCTGTTCTTGGGTCGCGAAATTCCCTCTATTGGTTGCATCCGTCGTTTTTCTCTCCAGGAATCTATCGATACCATAAATAGCTTTAAGGGCTTAGGTTCGACCTCCATTCTGCAACGTGTGTAGTGTAAAGAGGTTTTGTCGTCCTTCCACAACTGCGCGCGGCGGCATGAACGCAGCTTGAGTGCGGCGAAGCAAAAACACCCCACCGTAGCGACTGTTGCAACCGATCGTGTGTTCGTTGTCCTTGACTTGACCTACGGGCCAGCCACTCGCTCGCTGAGTTGTGTGGGTGCGTGTTTCTTTGTCGCTGTCGTTCCTCGACGAAGCTCCGCTCGCGTTTCTTGCTCTCTACCTCCGCCCTCCCCTTCCTTGGGCCTTCCGCAAGGCAGTGGTTAGCACATCTTTTTTAACGTATTTCTTGGACTTCGTCTTCGGCCAAAAATCGCGCAAATTAAGTAAGCACCTCCATGAACCACACGCGAAGCCTGTTCTGAAATCAATGCAAACAGTAAACTCCACACACACACCACAAGCAAGTGCGCTCCCTGGGCACAGAGAGAATATGCGAACGAACCCAGAGAACGGGCTGGTATGAATACACCAAATCGACATGAACCTTGAAGTGTACATCAAGTTGCTGCGCCAACTTCCACCATACAGCAGGTTGTTCTCAAGGATGACTGAAACATGCAGGCTCCCGCATGCCCACTACAATGTACGAATAACTTGTCCGTCCTCCAGTTTCTCAGGCTGGGCTCAGCTGGGTCGAGGGATTGCCTTCTCCAAGCTGTCCCATCGAAGGCGAAGCTAGCAGCGAAAATAACTGTTGTTGGAGACGGGGCAAAACGAAAAACGGCAGGCAAAGGCGGGGCCGTGGTAAGGCAGGGTTAAGAGGGAAGTGAGAGAGACTATGCTCGCTGATGGTCGTCAATCCAAATACGGATTTCAGTATGTGGGGGAAGTTTGTTCTGTGGCAAGACGACCGGAACGGGCTCCTGACCATTCACCGAGGCGCGAGATACGTGGGAGCATGCTGTTCGGGATGTCCTGAGCATACTGTGCGACGGGCCGATCAAGCAAAGCGGTTTCGCTGTCGAACTTTACATACGTAACAATACCTGAGCTTTGAGGCGCCGAGCGTCTTGCCCCCCCAAGCGTGATACCACAGCTTCGAGCCGTCGATTGTCTTCCTCTAGGCGGCAAAGCTTGTCGGTGAGGCGCCTCGAGTCGTCACTCGCGCGCTCGAGCTCACTTCTCATGGATTCAACCTGCAAGATGGCATCGTTGTAAACCTGAAGGCATTCAGAGAGCTCGTCTACAGTCTTTTTACTCGGTCTTCACGCAATCGATTCGATTCTTGGCATCATCCCTAGGCTAATGAGCTCGGGGCTTTCGCCCAACGATAACACTTTTCACGCTCTAGAAGGGAAGAGCCGTTGATTTTTCCAGCTCCAGCATGTTCAGGATCGGGGTGAAGGTCAACTCAAACCGGTTTGTTTTTCATCGGCCGTCGAGAAGATATGGGGATTCTCAAAAGCAAGTACTTCGGTCTCCTTTGAGCTCGACACATCTTGAATGTTGCCGACACTTGTTTCCCGAGAGAAGTTAAAACTGGCGCCTCTCGTCGCCAGCACAACAATCATGGCAAAGGCCAGATGACTACGTACATACATACATACGCAAGACTATGGCTTCAGCGATTGGTTTCGATCGCACCAGATGGACTACACGGCCAATACCGAAACACCACCCGCCTATCTATCTCTTCGAAGTACGGTTCCATGTGTCGTGCGCACTCTTCCCTCCGTATTAACTTTCAGCGTCGGACCACTTGTGACACCGCGATCAAGAGTACGGGGATATAATGTTTCGAAGCGGGAAAAAGACCATAAACCCACAGTTCTCAGACAAGTGTCGTTTGAAGCGAAAATGAGGAAAACACCGAATCGGAAACATACCTGGGGGGGGTCCCGCTTTCCCTTTTCCCTCCCCCCTTTTGTGAAAGGCCAGCTCCTGGTGCATTCTGCCTACAAGCCTCTGGCAATTGCACGGTCCAACCAGCAATGATGTGATGAAGACGGTCGAAAAACCGGCAGCCTTCGAACAAATGACAACACTCTCACCTCTTTTTGTAGTGAGTGCTTCATGACTGTCAGTTCCTGAGTCATTGCCGCCATCGCCATTGCTGCCATCGCGTCGTCTCCCACCGCGAACCCACCGCCAGTGTCCTTTAGCTGGGGGGGCTGCTGCCTCGGCTTGGAGAAGAACCCTTGTCTCTCCGTGCTCACCTGCTGCACCTAGAGGTGCTCGCGCATCACCGGGTGTGTTGGGCAAGATGCTGGTGAAAATTTGGCTGCTACAACACGTCTCACCGAGAAAATCTGTTTCGCCCCTCGATATTGCGATAAAATTTCGTCGGAATTTCACGAAAGGTATCTTTGGACAACCTTGTACTGGAGGGCACTCTTGGTTTTAATTCGAAGGAGTAACGGGGTGCCAGTGTGATCATAGAGTTGGGCAAGCGGTCTCCAAAAAATACCCTCGTTGTTGCAGTCAAGTCGACCGTGAGAGGTTCTGGCAATGCCTGCTCGAAAAACCCGACAAGAATTTGCACCGCTACCCTGAATGGGAATTTCGGAGGGCATGTGGTTTTAAGCCTTGTCGGTACGAAAATCCAACCTCGAACGTGTTTTGTTTTGCAGTTGTTCGGCGAAGGCACACAAATTTGGACGGCGACAGCCATGCCAGCCTCCTCGACATGACCACAGCAAAACACCGCTAGTTTCCTCACCGTCGAAGGAGGCGCGAACGGCGCGACCGCCCCGGGGCTGTCCCCCACAGGACCGCCCGCCTTAGTATCTACATCACCACCGTGTCCGCTTCCGCCCGCATCAACGCCACCACTGCCACCACTCCCTCCGAGAAACATTTGGAAGGCCGAAAGAGGGGTTTCTGGTCCTCGTTCACGGCGTTTCCCGTCACCGCCAAGGTCACCACCAACACCACCGCCACCACCGCCGAAGCCGACCTGCAAAAAAATCGTGATCGATACATTGTGGTTGCTACTGCTGTCATGTCGTGAGGATGACGTTACGCAAACGTCGGCTAATTTAGCGCTTGGAAGGCAAGCGGTGAGTCGCTAGCCGGTGGCGATTCCAAATGCCCGCTCGTTGACTTCCCCGGCTCGCTGGCGGTCCACGTGCTCGGCACCGGGTGTGTATTCAAATATGACCAGGCAGTAGATCGAGTTTTCGTGGAAGACCATCTTGTTGCCAAGGGCACTTACTTGGGCAACTTCTTGCCCGAGATCCATCGGGTACCAACCACACACATGCGCGAGTTGTAAACCGACTATTTGGTTAGCTACCTCCAGAGCAGAACCAACGTCGTGTCCGTCGTCTGAGCGCCGCCGGTCTGCCTTCCCGTAGCCTTTCGCGACAGCCACCAGCGTAGTGCCTGAGGTATTCATACAAATGAAGCGTGTGTATTGCATTGAACCATTTCTTTCAACGTGTTGGTACATAGCAGTGCCACGATGGGTTCTTGGTCTTAAGGGCGACCGTCGAAAAGCTTCCGAACCGAAACGAGACGTGTCGATCCAGCGCGTGGCAAGCGTTCACGCGGCGCGCCGTCGCTGTTCCATCTGCTACGCGCCCTTGTCCAAGAAGCAGCGGTGACGGATATTCATCCGCCCTGTGGGGAGTTTTGCGCGAACCTGTAGACTAGTGCGGTTGATTTTCTAGGCAAACTGACAGCCACGCGCCAACAGAGCTCGAAGGGCGAGGGGTGTGCCTCGTGAACTAGGAAAATTGAACGCGGCCCGGTCAGTCAGCAACCGCTTCGTTTTCAGAGCACACGCTATCGCCCCCACCTACCTACTCCTTTCAGCAGCAGTATCACGGCTGGCATGGACACGGTGAGGAACACCGCCAGCGCCGGCGGGAGCAGGGCCGGGAGTGCTCTCCTGATGGCGCGATTGAAGCTGTCCGGCATGGTGGATAGCGGCAGGGAATCTCCGAACAGCTTGGTGTGCTCGTTCTGTTGGTCGAAGCATGAGCGCGCCGCGGGGTTAGAAAATATGCTCAGTGGGAGGTTCAGAGTATGGGGCACTAACGAGAAGGAAAATAAGTACTATCGTATCCTTTTTCGAGAAGCGAAGAGACAGACGTGACATGGCTTGAAAGATTCAGTTCGAGAACTTCGTAAGAAGGAGAGGCATGCCCACGCAGGG